CCGCACTTCCGGTACCTGGAATTCTGTTTCTAGAAAGTTTCCCCACCCCCCCTCGGCGGGAGCCAGGTGGCCCTCCCATGGGACAGGTTAGTGGGGGGGGGGGGGGGGTGTCTCTCTCTCTCTCTCTCTCTCTCTCTCTCTCTCTCTCTCTCGGAAGAATTTATAATTAAGGACCCGTCCCTCGCAAGGACAGAAACGCTTTGCTCCCTATGAAAGGACTGACATAGCCCGATTGGTGTCACACATCCCACACGGCAGACAGCCAAGAACTCGGGTGTGGAGGTGGTGGCTCCAGCAGCTGCCCAGCTGTGAGCACTCACCAAATACAGCCCTTGGGTGCCATGCTGCTCCCAGCGGATAAATGCGTGGGCAGAGCAGGCAGTAGAGGCAGGTGGAAAAGCCATCCAGCCCAGCACCAGGTGCCCAGCCCACAGCTCCTCTGGTCTGTGCCGTGTTCTTAGTGAAGAACGGAGCCCCCAGCAGGCTCGGAAACGCTCTCGTCTGAGAGCAAACAGGTTTCCCGGAACAAACCAGCTCCGTGACTCAGTGTGAGGCTCATCTTTGAAAAATCACTTCGGGATGCAGCCAGTCATGTAGGTGCAGCGTCCCCAATGCTTTCCAAGGGCCACTCTGTGAAATCTCTCATGTTTCCTGTCGAGCTTACGGGCATGTCAAGAAAATCACCTCCCAGCCGAGCCTCTGCTGCAGGGCCTTTTAAATCCCCAAACAGCATTGTCCAGGAGGATGACTCCATGTTGACCAGACTATTTTCAAGGAAAAAGCCACCTTGGAGAATACCACTTAGCAACAATTTTTTATAATCTCATTTCCCAATGAGACAGTCGCCATGGCGACCCTCACCTATAAGGACCATACATCCAGGCTTTCCAGGGTTACCTGGTGTGAACTTGCTGATAAGCCTACACCACCAAGGATCCAAGAAGAATTCCAGAAGAGGTCATCAAGTTCAACCCAGTACACGAGTATCTTCCATGATGGTCTCAATAAATATGTCTTCTTGAATACCTCCAGGGATGGGGAACTCACTCACTGTTCAGCTCATGGGCCGACCAGCTGTCATGTCCTCTCAATGACCTCTCTCAGTGAGTGATTGTTAGATCTTAATGATTCAGTTCTGAAAACAATTACTGCCCATCTCTCATGCTTCTGGAACTTTAACTGAAGAATCCACGCTGGTTTGAAAGGGAGGTCTTAAAAATCCCGTGTTCGTATTTGTAGCTGTGTAGCTGTATGAAGACAGACTTTTTTCTTTTCCACACGATCCAAACAAGCACTGCTACATTCTAGTCATGTTGCCTGTCCTGGGCTTACTCTCTCCTTGTTGAAAATGGAGATGAAAGAGTGTATTTGAGAGGAGTTTTGTGGGGTTTTAAAAAAAGATTTTTTATTGATTTTGAGAGAGAGAGGAAGGGAGAGGGAGAGAAACATCGATGTGAGAGCAAAGCATCAATCGACTGCCTCCTGCATGGCCCCCACCAGGGATGGAGCCTGAAACCCAGGCATGTGCCCTGACCGGGAATCAAAGCAGCAACCCCTTTGGTGCACGGGATGACACCCAACCCACTGAGCAACACCAGCCAAGGCAATAATAGCTATTGTTTCTCAGCATTCGCTATAGCCAAGCATTGTCTTAGGAACTTTACATTCTTCATTAACTTAATTCTTACTCAACAGTATAACCTGTATATTATTATGCCCATCGTTCAGATGAGGAATTTGAGATACAAAGAAATTAAGAACTGGCACAAAGTCACACAGGAGTAAACAGTGGAGGCAGGAGTTGAACCTGGGGACTTGAATCCCTCTGTCCCAAGCTCTGTGCTTCCAGGAAGAGGGGTCGTGTGGACCTGAAGATGAACAGCCACAGGAAGAGCCAGGGAGGAGGTGCTGGCTGGAAGGTTTCTTAAATTCAGGGGAAGTGCTGAGGTTTTAGCTTCAGGAAATGATCTGCAGGAGACAAAAGGAGGGTGGAGCCAGCCCTGGGCAAGAAGAACAAAAAAGGTAACTCAGTCTGCCCTGGCCGGTTTGGCTCAGTGGATGGAGCGTCAGCCTGCAGACTGAAGGGTCCCAGGTCAATTCTGGGCAAGGGCACAGGCCCGGGTTGCAGGCTCAATCCCCAGTGTGGGGTGTGCAGGAGGCAGCTGATCAATGATTCTCTCTCATCATTGATGTTTCTCTCTCTCCCTCACCTTCCTCTTCGAAATCAATAAAAATATATTTTAAAAAACCACTCAGTCTCAGATGAGAAAAAAAGAATTGAGAAGTGAGGAAAGTAGCTACATCGAGGGACTTGTTCATATAGAACAGAAACCAAAGTTAACTAACTTAATAATCAATTCTTTAGATGGATTTTATAACATGGACAGAAAAGACAAAGAGCCAGACTCAAAACAACAACAAACCACCACCAAGAAACAAGCAAGAACAAGTAAAATCTAAGCAGCAGAAAGTACACTGTGGCCACAGGGAGAGAACCACCTGCTGAGGCCAAACAAAGGGGCTCCTGCATCAGGTCGCAGAGGTCCTGGGGACCAGCGGGCCAGGTGCCGAAGGATGAGACAGCCAGCAAGGCGTTCACGACAGAGGGAAACCAACACGCCTCTCGTGAGATGGCTGAGCACTGAAGACATCTGCTCTCAAGGTCTTGCTTCTGGGGGTCAGCGTCACCGCCTTCTGCAAAGGCCCCTCTACTCTGGAGACTGAGTCCCAATCCCATCCTGACGGCAGACCCTTATTATACGTGACAGAGGTTGGTGGCCAACGCCACGGCCGCATGCTGCTGGGTGAGTACGTGGCTGGGAACCTCTGCCCGTGACGGCCTGAGCACCTGCTTAGCACGGCCGCTGCTCAGAGGAACCAGGGCAGGAAAGCGAGCCTGATGGGGGGAGGGGACTCAAGGCTGCTGCTGACCTCCATGAACAGGAGTCACCATGACCACGGGGCGTTCTCTCCATCTGAGCAAGGGCTGGGCCTGCGTCGTTTCCCTGCCTGTGCTTGTGCCGACCTGGCATCTCAGCGTGAACCCTGTTGCACAGTGATGCTCCCAGATCTGCTGTTGTAGATTCCTCTTTTTCCTTTTCTCCAGCTTGACCCGGAGGGCTGTGCAGCGAATCAGTAAGCAGGACTCGATGCTCGTGCAGGTGCCTGACCAATCTGACGCCGAGGCAGGAACTTGGCGTGACAGGGAGAGCACAATTGCCACTGTGAACGTGACCCCAATGGGTGATCGAGAGCTCGAGGGAAGGAAACTTTTACTGGGGAAGTTTCATTTCAAAGGAAAAAGCTCCAGGAAATTCTAAAAACAATCCTTTGATTTAATCATTAGCATCTGAATTGCTCTGCATGAGAAAACGCCTTTAAGCATTCATAAGATTAAGGTGCCAAAATTAATGTGTAGCTATCATAGAAGTGCTTGCAATTGTCCAGAAATCGTGCATAATTAAATAGCAATTTTTCAAACGCTTCAATGAGACGCAAAAAAGAACATGAAGATTTACAGGAAGAAACGTTTGTGAGCTGTCAGCCCTCTTGTGGCCATAAAGCACAGTGCAGCCAAGACCTCCACCCCGTCTCCCACCTCAGTCCTGGAGCAGGTGGAGTTGGGGGCCAGAGTCTAATTGTGAGGCCTGACTCCTTCACCCGCCCGGGCCTCTGATTCTGAGGAAGCTGCTGGGCAGTGAGCAAATGCGCTTCTCTTTCTGGTGCCATCGAGGACATCAGAACAGAGCCCGGCTTTCCCGCGCCTCCCTTGTTACTGGGCAACAGCTTCGGTTGCTTTGATGGACAGGTCGTTGGACTGTGGAGAAAGAGTGCAGGTGCTGCAGCTGAAGCCCCAAGAGGCTGTGACTGGCCCAAGGTCTCACTCTTCCCGCCTGATGTTAAATACCACCCTCCTGGGTTTATTTATAAATATGGTTTTATTGATTTTAGGGAAAGAGAGAAACATAAGTGATTCATCAATTGGCTGCCTCCTGCACGCCCACCAGGGATCAATCGGAAACCCAGGTGCTGCTAATTACCTCCCATGCACCCACCCGTGTGCACCTGCTGCTTCCCTTCCGGCCGCACTTCCTGGCACAGATTGTCCTTGTGACTCATTTGCATTAGGGCAGCAGCCAGCCAGCTGTCCTTCCAGCCTAGGCCACTCTCCAGGCAGCAGCCAGAGGGGCGTCCAAACCTCAGAGCCAGCCAGTCTCTGTCACTTAGAACCCTCCAGGGCCCCTGTTGCTGTAGGAGAAAGTCCAAGATGGCCGCTGTA